TGAACACACACACACACAGGTGTGAAGACACAGCTTCCCTGTTGTTTCCATCAGAGCTGATATGAAGGTGTTTTTATCAGGCACTCTGATGGTGACGAGGAATCAAACACCCGCTGGACTCATGGTGGAGGTGGAGCAGAATAAAACATATTAGCTAAACTGTAGCACTAGATGTTGAACTAGATCTGACCAATGACGAGGCTACAAATGAGCTACAAAGACTGAACAAAACGTAAAGAAAACCTCACTGAACATTGTCCCAAAAATATATAAAACTGTCACAAATATGGCAAAAGTTGCTAAAAGATATCCCAGGAATAGCTTAAGCTAGCCAAAGGATTGGTCTGAAGATAACGGAGCGTTTCAAAAACCTCTTCCTGCGGCGGTCACTCACCTTCTCTGGGAGCGATCTGGCTGGACTGACGTTGAACATCTTGGACATGTCCTCTGAGTTGCGCTGCTGAGCTACGTCACACAGTTTGGCCGTGATGTCGATCCGTCTGCAGATGTCCATGTCCACGCGTCTGGCTTTCTCCTGAATCTGGGAGTCCAGGTCTGACATTTGCTGCGTGAACAAAAAACATGGCTTTGTCACAATGACGTCAACGAAGCGGCACTTGTCAAAAAGGTTTGGAACCATGTTTTCATGTAAAAAAAAGTTTTTGCCCTGGATTTAATCATTTTGTTGTAATAAAACGCTAAATAACTTTAGTCCAAACATGAATTATATTATAATTATGTTCATTCCTGATCTCTCTAATCTAGCGTTGACTTTTTTAACTTTGTTCGTCTTGACTTGACCCCAGTTTTCACATTAGGAAAACCGCAGGTGTGGACAAATGTTTCAGTAACGATTTGGATTCATGTGGCGTAATGCTGCTTCACTGACACATGGTGGCGACATACATGAGCTCTGTAACTACAGCTGGATATTCAGTGCCGTGATCCTGGGGGGTTTGACTACTACAGAAAGTTCCATGAAACTGTTGGAGGCACAGAGTGACGATCAGCAGGATAAACAGGTAAACAACAACAACAGAAAAACATCTGTATTTACCACCGGCTGAACACTACTGCAGTATTTCTCAACTGTATCACAGTACTGTTCACAGCTGGAGGTCAGTTTCAGATATTTTTCCTTCTTCCATTAAACCTCGGCATCCAGACATTTGTGTTCTTCAAATATAAATTCACTGGATTCAGATACAGGAAGAACAGGGGGAAGAGTCTGTTCTAGTACCGATACTCAGACTTGTAGTATCGTCCATGTTTAGTATTATACAGAATAGAGATGTTCTGATACTGAAACTGCCCAATACTTCATTTGTAAACTATATATACTACAGTATATATTGTGCTATATTTCCGTACTCGAAACGCACTGATCTATCGACTGGATACTCTTCTGATACCAGAGGTGGCAGCGGTGAGTCAGCGTTAGCTGTTTCTTCTCACTGGTAGTTAATAGAAGAATCAGCAGTTTGGAGGAGAACTACAGTGAGAGTTGTTCTGTTATGATAATAGTACTCTAATGAAACACGTGAAGACACGCCCTAGTACTGATGAGTACACAGGTGTGTCACGGGCGTGTACACCTCACCACGTCTCTTTGTTGAGACTTGTTTAAGCAACATTGTTTTTGTTAATTGATTGCCACAGTCAAAAAGCTCTGCTCACTTTCTGTCCAACTAGTACTAGTTTTACTCCATAAATACTGTCTCATCTTTTGGTTTGGATTCAAATCCTGTCACAGTGACTTCCAGTCCATTGTATGTTTTTAAACCTAGAGAAGGTTTGGTGAAGTACTAGGTGTAGGCCAGTACACAGATCAATTCTGGTCCAGAAGAAGAGTTTCCTGTCCTACTGAAGGATGGCCTCAGGGTGTCAGCGGTGAGTGAACACTCACGTCGGTCATCAGACTCTTGAAGACCACCAGTTCAGTCTTCAGTCTGTCCACCTTCTCATTCAGGTCGTTCTGGATCTCTGACGAGTCCTGGATACTCTGAGGACAGAAGGTCAGACCATGAACCAGGGGTTTAACACGTCAGTGTGATGTGTTCCTACATCAGCTCTGATCACTGGTGCTGTGATGTCATTCTTGGTGACTGACCATATATTTTATAGATTCATCGGTACCAGGACAACAGTAACAGTTCCTGAGGTTCCTAACCAGCTGTGGTTTCTTCAACACATTGACGACACATTGACGTTTTGGACTGTTGTTGAAGCTGAGTGTTGACCAGATGGTCGTCAACCTGAAGTGCTCTGACGTTGTTGTCTGGTGGGATTTGAACTGTTCTACAGTCGTCGTGTTCAACTTTTCAAACAGGTGTTCAACGTTTGTATTGGACCTAATATTTAATGTCCTTCCTGTTTATTTTTAAGGCCTTTGTCATTGTATTATTTTTTATTATTGCTGTTACTGTATGTCTGCAAACATTTCCTGCCTACGTCTCTCTCTCTCTCTCTCTCTCTTTCTCACACACACACACACACACTCGGAACAGTTAAAGCCCCGAGGCGTGGTGGGGGGGGCACTCCCCCCATATCTGGGATTTTGCTGACCCACAACAGAAGACGAATACTCATTCAGCCGTGGATCGATTTATGGGGACGATAGTGGATGTGGGCGGCTGGAGAGATGCTCCCTCTAGTGGCGGTGTCATGTGTTATGATGCAGCCTTAGAGCCTCAATCGATTTTTATCTACATCTATTTCTGTGACCACAGTAATGGGAGACTGCTACCAGCTAAACTAGTCCACTTCCTTTTGGCTGTTACCGTACCGTAGTGAATGACCTCAGTGCTGTGAACGGAGATGTTAAGGTTCTGATGTTCTGATGATCTATGTTCTGTTGTTCTATCTTCTATGTTCTGATGTTCTATATTCTGATCTTCTATGTTCTGATCTTCTATGTTCTGTTGTTCTATGTTCTGATGTTCTGATGTTCTGACGTGTTCTGGCTCCAGACCTGCTCCAGTGTTTCCACTGTGGACTCCAGCTGCTCCCGTTTGGACACTTCCTCTTCCCATCTGTAACACAGAACACAGCCCCCCCCGCCCGCGGGGGGGGGGGGGGGGGGGGGGGGGGGGGGGGTCACTATACAAGGTAAGGTAAGATAATATCCCCTCTCTGATTACAGATGCCCTTGACGATGTGGGTACACGCCCACTTCCCCGTCCTGTTTTCATTTTTGTTGCTCCATTTTTCCTTTGTCTGTCCATCTCTTTAACCCCCCCCCACTGCCCCCCCTCAATAAAGCCATAAAGAAGAAAGGAGCTCCGTCCTTCTACAAACACTGCTCATGAAAAGCTTGTGAACATGTGAATGACTGTGTAAGGACATTTGAGCTCCAACACACCCAGGAGGGTGGAGCGTCTGGGCTGCGGCCTGGATTCCTTCACTCCTTCATTCACACGGAATGAGACGGCGCTCCGGTCCTAGAGCTACGACCATAGAATCACACTGAGGAACGCCAGAGCTGAACGCTTGTTGTTGTTGCTGTTGTTGCTTCAATATAATTAGCAAATGTTTCAGTGTTCTGAAGATGAGTTGAAAACAGCATCAGAGCGCCACCTCCTGGTCAAACATGTGGAGAATAAACTCTTCTGATTTGTCCAGAAAAAGGTGTAACGACACATGTCCTGTCCTGGTCCTAAAGATATGGCACTGTTAGGATATGATTAGCAGCACAGACCTCTTTGACTCATGACGCTGGTCCGTACCAGGGTTGAACCACGGTGGTCCTGTGACCACAGCAGTGTTGTCTGAACATGTGGACACAGACCACCACAGACCACCACAGACTACTTCACCGATGACCTCACAGGCACAGACGTCTCACCCCTTCATCTGAGCCTCCATCTCATCTCAGCTGTCACTAAAATATCACCCAACCTTCAGGACCTGCAGAGTGCCCCCCCCCCCTCCCCCATAAACACGTGATTCAGAGATGAGAGTTAGGGACACAGACAGTGTCCTGTGTCCAACACTCAGACATTTTCTCAGACAGATCTGTTTGTTGAACAGTCACATTCCTGCAGCTCTGGCCAACTAACACTCCCAGGCTGGAATGTTCCGGAGTCACACTTGACTGTAAACTGCCTCAGTCTTAACTGGGCGTCTCACTGTCCTCCTCCACCTCCTCCTCCACCTCCTCATCCACCTCCTCCAGTCGTTGCTGATAATGATTTCTCTCCCAGGTTGATTTATTCCTGATCGTTGACAGATGATGGGAATCATGGGAAAATTAATTATGATTCAGTGATTTTATCTCTCACTGTGAACGCCCAGGAGTGCAGCAGGAAAAAGGTGTGGCTGCACTCACCCCGACCTCACCCAGTTTACCCACTGACGGGAGGGGTAACTGTCAGTGAGTGCAGGGGTAACTGTCAGTGAGTGCAGGGGTAACTGTCAGTGAGTGCAGGGGTAACTGTCAGTGAGTGCAGGGGTAACTGTCAGTGAGTGCAGGGGTAACTGTCAGTGAGTGCAGGGGTAACTGTCAGTGAGTGCAGGGGTATCTTAGTGTGAACTTCACTGTTTTCATCTCGATGTAATGATTTCATCCCAGTTGATGTGAAACAGTGGGAAAGTTTTCCTGGAGGGAGGAGGGCAAAGAGGGCGGAGTGACCATAGTGGGTCATCGACTGAATGTCAGGATGCTCTGTAATCTATAGCCTCCCCAGAGGCCACAGGGAGACATGCGTACCGCGCTAATGTTGCAGCATAAGCGGCGCAGGAGTCCACCGTCTGTCTGACTGCTGGGGGTCTCTGAACCGCCAGGTCAACGCCAAGGTCAACGTCATTTAATGTCCCTGCTTCTCCATCACTGTGGAATCAATCTGACCCCCCCCCCCCAGGGATTTCCATCATTCCTGTGGCCCCGCGTCCGTCTACCCACCCCCCCCCCCCCCCCCCCCCCCAGGGATTTCCATCATTCCTGTGGCTCGTTCAGCTCACACTGACTCCCAGCACACACACACACCGCCGTGACCTGTGACCTCACATTCACTCTGCAGCTCCACAAAGCAGCTTCTGGTCCAACACAGTCCAGCTGCTGAACTACAACAGTGCTGAGTTGTTAGGGTTTTCCCTGGAGGACCATGAAGGCACCGTGGACCGTGGACCTCTCCGGTCAGTCGTCTTAAACCAACCTACAGACCAGACGTCTAATGATTTAAAACACCTGGGCGACCGAAGGAAACGCAGGACAACGGCGTCCGATCACACGGACGATAGTCTGGGCCAAGGTTAGCTTAGCTTAGCTTAGCTTCAGAGGAAAGTGGATATTTGAAGTCATTATTTTAGTCTTGTTTTAATGGGATGTGTTTTATTTTATTTTCGTACAGTTCGGTACCAAATGTTTAACCAAGCTTTTGTACAAGAATGAGGTATAATTTCCAACATGCTAGTAATATGTCATAGTACTGCAGTATTCTACAGTACAGAATAACTGAAGCTACAGTAGCCCCACCAGTTGTATTCTTATAACTATGATGTAGCCTTGTGCAGTACTCACTCTGGCCTGTAGGTGCGCACTCATACAGTCTTCATCTAAGATCAAACAGACCCTGGGTACTTATATAACAGACAATGGCCCCTGGCGGTCTTGGGAGGGGGGGGGGGGGGGGGGGGGCTGTGTTGTGTTTATTCTGCCTTACAAATGACATGGATTTGTACTGTGTACACACAGGCATGTCCAGGCCACATCAGGGTGGAGGAGCACTGGGAGTGACGTGCGGTTCACCGCTGGCACCCATCCCCGGAGATGGAGATCAGGGCGGGGGAGGCAGGCCCAACAATATCATCTTTACCTGTGGGCACGCACACCTGACGTAGTATTGTAGTAGATATTATATAAGGTACACAGCTGTGTGTGTACTTGTGTGTACCTGTGGTCTGAAACTCAGCCGTGTCAGAATGTTCTAGACCAGGAGAAAACGCCCAACGGTTGTTGATCCAGAGCAGGTTTGAACAGCAGCCACTGGCTGTGGTTTTATGTGCGTGTGTTACCAGTCAACACCAACCAAGAGCTGAAGGTCAGAAGAACACCATCCTGTTCTAACCAGTTACCAGAACCCTGACCCTAACCCAGAGCCGAGAGGCTCAGTGTGATGTCATCAACTGAAACAGTGACTGTTCAAAGTCTGAAGGTTCAACGATGGAATCAGTTCCAGTTTGATGACAGGAACTTTCTCCTGAGTGGGAATTCATTCTTTGATCTCCAATTTTTCATTTACTAATCGTTGGAAGGGTGAATAATTATGTGTCATTAGGTCAAAAGGTCACAGACGCAGACTGAGGATAATCTTTAAACTGACGCTGTTGTTGTTGTTGTCATCGTCGTTGTTGTCGTTGTTGTCGTCGTTGTCGGTGTTGTTTTTGTTGTCGTCGTTGTTGTCGTCATTGTTGTTGTCGTTGTTGTTGTTGTTGTTGTCGTTGTTGTTGTCGTCGTCGTCGTTGTTGTCGTCATTGTTGTTGTTGTCATTGTTGTTGTTGTTGTCGTCATTGTTGTTGTTGTCATTGTTGTTGTTGTTGTCGTCATTGTTGTTGTTGTCGTTGTCGCCGTCGTTGTTGTTGTTGTCGCCGTTGTTGTCGTTGTCGTTGTTGTCGTCGTTGTTGTTGTCGTCGTCGTTGTTGTCGTCGTTGTTGTTGTTGTCGTTGTTGTTGTCGTCGTCGTCGTTGTTGTCGTCATTGTTGTTGTTGTCGTCATTGTTGTTGTTGTCGTCATTGTTGTTGTTGTCGTTGTCGCCGTCGTTGTTGTTGTTGTCGCCGTTGTTGTCGTTGTCGTTGTTGTCGTCATTGTTGTTGTTGTCGTTGTCGTTGTTGTTGTTGTCGTCGTTGTTGTTGTCGTTGTTGTCGTTGTTGTCGTTGTTGTCGTCGTTGTTGTTGTCGTCGTCGTCGTTGTTGTCGTCATTGTTGTTGTCGTTGTTGTTGTTGTTGTTGTTGTTGGCCTCCGACAAACGATCAACTATAGCACAGGCAGAGCAGTGAGCAGGAAGGAGGTTCAGCCAACTCTGGATGTGTGTCCATGGCAGTACACAGTACACAGTACACAGTACACAGTACACAGTACACAGTATTTTCCTTTCACACTGCTGCTGCCATTTGAATATTATCTGAGTCAGTGCTGATATGATGTGTTCACTGGACCTGGGAAGTTTGAATATTCTGTCTGTGCTGTCTGTTCTCTGTTCTCTGTCAAACACGTCCATCAGTGTCGGCCGCTGAGTTCAAGGCCCTGGGACCTTTACTGGTAAAAAGGTGGCACAGACCCCCCCCCCACTTACTGCTATTTAAAATAAAAGTTTATCTGTTTATTAAATGGATCTAATTGGATGGTAATTATCAAATTCTGGACTTTCCATTTATTTTGAATATATTTTGACTAAAGAAACGCTGATCAAACGACAGTGTCTTTGAAATCACACACACTCTGAGGAGGAGAAGTTCCTTCAGCAGAAACTGCATCAAATTGAACGACTCGGTCAAGTGAACGGGGGGGGGGGGAAGGCCAAAACAGCCTGTATGACATAGAGAGGAACGAAGGGTGGAGGAGGATGGACTGGCACAGAGGAACACAAAGAGCACAGAGGCCCGGGGGGGGGGGTGAATCACTGAAATGTGACAGTAGTAAAGAGGACTTAAAATGGGAGGCAGAAAGAAAACGAGTGACAGTGAGTGAAAACTGTGAAGAAGTAGGGACTCAGAAAAAGATTTACTGTATGAACGTTCTGGTACTGGTTTTGGTTCTGGTACTGGTTCCGGTACTGGTTCTGGTACTGGTTCTGGTACTGGTTCTGGTACTGGTACTGGTACTGGTTCTGGCTCTGGTTAAAAAAACTAATTTCTCGGTTTCTATGGCGGTAGGACATCCTCATGTTAGCGAATGTCCTGGTACAAGCTAACTGTCCTGGTACAAGCTAACTGTCCTGGTACAAGCTAACTGTCCTGGTACAAGCTAACTGGACCAGGTGATGGAGTCCACAGATAAATATAGATGAGAAATGAAAATGCCTTTTCTGTCTGAGACTCGATGACCAGGACTGAAAACATGACCTTACTGTGAGCTGCTGAGTAAAAATGACTGATCCAGAAAACACCAGTGACGACTGATCCACTGACTTCAGGTCAGAGCTTTGGATCAAGTAGAGCCAGGGTTTGGCTGCAACAATTTTTTTTTTTTTTTTTGGCTTTCTTCCCAGACGTTGCTGTTCATCTTCTCAGGCAGAAATGCACAAAAAAGGATCCACTGGTTACAGGGAATGACTGGACAGGATATTCAGTTTCCCAGAGGGGATTTGGAGCTCACACACACACACACACACACACATTCTGTGTCACTGAGTCAGTGAACTCACAGGGAAGTCAGCGTTCGTCACAGCCGCCCTCATCGTCCAGACGGAGGCCTGTCAAATGTTTTCACTTTGAATCATGACATCACACACAGCCGCGCTGGTCGACCTGGGCCCCTGGGTTAGACCCTGCAGTGAGTCCTCAGGAAGTGCTGCTAATGTGACTAAGTCAGACGAACAATCAGGCGACACTGGAATTTCCTCAGAAGTGTGTGAGAAACAGGATTGGTTTGTCCTTCCTGTGGGACACTGACCTCAGAACAGTATCAGAGGAGCTGCTGCAGACACTGACCATAATGACCACCACAGTGAGAGTGAGAAAGTAGCAGACAAATGAAGTTCTATCTATCAATCAACAGGGGGAGCCATGAATAAATAATAACAAAAATCCTGTTTCTCCAAAGCAAATCTTAAATCACATCTTAAAATATCCTGTTCTGCCAAGTCAGCAGCCCAAAACCCTCAGCTGACATTGAGGATTACTGGCATCAGCCCGACCTGGTGCACGACCGCGACGTCGACCACAGCACGCCCAGCAGCTCAGTGACTGCAGCCTTAGAATCCCAGTGAGAAATCACTGCAAACATCACATGTGAACTCTTATAAGTTCATCAAGGTGGTGTTACAACAGACGGCTTGTAACTTGGTTTATGGTTTTAGGACAAAATGAATGAATGTTGATGTGAATAAACGGGGCAAGGCTCTTCATCAACGTTTACGTCCACAGTTGGCCAATCACATCATTGATTTCAGCCTCAGAAAACTCGATGGTCTGTTGTGGACTTGGTTTATGGTTTTAGGACAAAATGAATGAATGTTGATGTGAATAAACTGTTATTTACACACACTGTGGGAAAACTTTTCCTTTTCACCAGAGCTCTTCAAGTTTAAAATACCATCTGAAGTGTCAAATGGATTACAAGGTAATGGTTAACAGGTTAATATTGATATAACTAATATGTATTAATATATAGTGTTATTATTTTGGAGGAAAACAACTTCACCAAAGTTTTGAAAGAAACTCGGAGTGGATCCAACAAACCTCATCAAAACCACAGAAACTCTGGAACTGAATGTGTTTCACTGCTGGGTTTTTTAAACGTTTTCCTGACAGTTTTCACCATTAGAGTAAAACCACAGGACCAGGACTGAACAGGACCAGGTCTGAACAGGACCAGGTCTGAACAGGACCAGGTCTGAACAGGACCACTGTAGTTTAAATCTGTCGTTAATCAGTGATTAACTCAGCTAGTAAACCATTTAATTATTATTTTAACAATAAAGTGAAAACTGATTTTGTTCACCAAGGCCAGAAGCAGAAAGAGCTGCTGAATGTGCATGAGTCGTTGTCTCAACAACTCCATGGTGGTCGTTCACTACATGACACAGAATATATACAGTATTTCGGTTTTACTGTATCGCTGTACGCAGAGAGTATTTTACTCACCTTTTCTTGTACTCGTCTCTCTCCCTCTTGACTTTGGCCAGTACGTTATACAGAGCCCTCAGTTCTGGTGTGATCGTGTCTATCTGGACTCCAACTCCGTCAGGGTGAGTCCACGTCACCCCGGGCCCATGCAGGGTCTCGAAGCGCTCCCCTTGCCTCCGGATGTGGGTGAAGCTCCAGATGGTTCCCGGCAGTCGTGACTCGGGACCGTCCGTCTGCACCGCCACCTCCCGGGTGTAGAGGTGCCGGTACTGTGTCCTCTGCAGAGCCTGTTGGAGCTGGCTCTCCAGGATCTTGTTCCTTCTCTCCAGTTCGTGTACTTTGGCGAGAAAGCAGCGGAAGCGCAGGTTGAGGGTTTTCAGCACATGGATGTTGGAGCCCAGGTCGTTTCGCAGGGCGCTGGTCACCGCGCCAGACCCGGGCGGGCCGTTACAGACCGGAGCGGGCGGAGTGTCGGAGAAAAACATCGAATTCATGTCGGCAGAAGACAAAAACAACAGCCCGTAATCCGACTGTAGCTCTGTCCAGATGATCAAACCACAACACGCTGTTGTCGTTGTATTACCTCTGCATTTTAGTCACATTTACCCTCCTCTGGGGGCACTCTCTTCTTACAATGCAGATGCTGAGGGGCACGAGGCGGCTGGACACGGGCTGACCATCACTGTCCCTGCCTCATGTTGACCACAGATCCTAGGTGGGCCCGGCACCGAGGCTGTTCACAGAGCCGCACTATAAACCAGAGAATGTCCGTTAACAGACACCGAGGGCATCATCTCCTGGAGCAGCCGGAGGTTTGACGCAGACCACGACCGGCAGCAGCAGCAGCAGCAGTAGCAGCAGCAGTAGCAGCAGCAGTAGCAGCAGCATCACAATTTCCCGTCACCTCCTTCATCTTTGCCTTGGCTTTGTCTTGATGTAGTCCCAGAGAAACGGCCCACCTTCTTCCTTCACTCACCATTCCCCCTTCTATCTCTCCTTCCCTTTTTCTTATTCGGCCACCATGTGGAGCAGTGGGCTGGATGCTGAAGGACCGCAGTCAGAGCCCGGCCTGTGAGCACGGATCATGTTGCAAAGTGCTAAAGTCGGCACTACACACACACACACACACACACACACACACACACACACAGCCAACCCTCCCTCTCTCCTCTCTTTCTCACCCTCAGAGTCATGAGGAGAGGATGAGGGCATAAAGCACGGGGTAAATGAAAAGACCCAACAACAGTTAACTCTTAATAACAGGACGTCATGATCTGATGACGTAGTAAACAGCACTTCTACTGGACTCTTCATTGGCAAGAATGATACTTGAAGTACCTTTATTACCTAACAATTTACTAAAATATTCAGAATAATTAAACTTTTAAAATCAAATCAAATCAAACCGTTCAGTCCGTGTGTTGTTGAGACGTGGCGACATGTTCTATATCAAATCATATCACTGTAGAATGTCCGCACCAGACCAGACGAATCCCTGCATTAACAATGGTTAACAATGGTATCATTGAAATGTAATAGTGACTAATAATTGAGATTGTAATCAACAACACTATACACGGCAACAGCAATTACCTACTAATACTACTAACACTATCTGTCTACTTCTACTAACCTACTAATCTGATCTACTAACATCCACTGTTCACGTTTCCAATATTCATTGACAGTGTACTGCTACTCTTGTTTGTATTTTATTTTATTTTATTGTATTTTTACCTATTTGTGAGTTTTTATTGGGTTTTTTTTGGTGCTGTACTGCTGCTGGAGCCTACATTTCCCAAAGGAAACTCCCCAAGGATTAATAAAGTGCCATTTATCTGTCTGTCTGTCTGTCTGTCTATTCATCACTCTGTAAATATTACCTTTTGGAATAGACCGTACATTATGGTCTTAAAGCAGGTTCATATTTTCCCATTTAGTGAAAAGGACTTGTTCACAATACTTATTACTGCAGTGATTAATACAGCGATAGTCACTGTAATGTAGATTATGTGAAATGCAATAATTCCTCATCTGTTTTCATCTTACTATTTACTTTCCTTGCACAGCCCTCCACTGGTTAAAAATGGCAACTGCACTAAACCCCTGTTTCCTAAAAGAAAAGACATTTTCATTGTCATTAAAAAACAAAACGAATCTAAAAATTATTTGAATTAAATGTAATTTAAAAATCCTCTCTTTCACTTGGTCTGTTGCACCATCAAAAATGTCTATACTGTTCTACTATTCGACTACTTTACAATTTGAGCTCTAACGACCTCTAGCGGAATATTGTGTTTACCGCACTAAAGACAGCTACCCATTTGTGTCACACATAATATAGATTAATATTTAGAATTACACGTACATTTTGTTTACTCGAAATTCTCTAAGCGAAATCGGGTGGTTTTAAAAATAAAAAACATTAACAGGATATTTTTAAAGTATCGTTTAAATTCAGTGTTAAATGTATAATTCCCGCTGTTGTTTATATCTTTCTTTCCTTTGGACTTTTATTTGTATTTTTGTATTCTTAAGTACGTTGCATGTTGTTTAAAAAATAAACATCTTTAAACTGTCTTAATTTTGCTATTATGCTCACATTTCTGTTCTGTACAATTAAAGATTTTATTTCTAATCAGGCGAGTCACGGGCAGCTTTAATGAACAGAAACATTTGGGGTCCTTTTACTTCACGTGTGCGCCTGCTGCTCTGCCATCGTGAGTGGAAACCATGCCTAAGTCGAAGAGGGACAAGAAAAGTAAGATAATATATTTGCAGATCGCATAAAATACAGACTTTTAAAAGAGAAACGTGTTTTGTGTGTCAATACGTTAACAGAAAAAATACGAAAGCAAAACAAGAGCCCACTTAAACTTTTGCTAGCGAGTGGTCCGCCGTCAATGTCCAAATTGCAGATTACTCGTTTAATGACGTCGTAAAAATCCTGATGTATCACAGTTTCTGAAAGACACGATACAACTTCTACCGTCTATAATGACGTACATTTGCCATTTTCTATGTAACCTTTTATAGTTTCGTTAACCAAGACAGCCAAGAAGGGGCTGGAGTTAAAGCAGAAGCTAATCGAAGAGGTGAGCCCACCCCCCATGATTCTATTGATTATTGACACTTATTTGATCAAAAGTATTTCCTGCTCACACACGTATTTGTGCTCTTTTGCGTTTAGCTACGGAAATGTGTGGACACCTACAGATACTTGTTCATATTCTCTGTGGCTAACATGAGGAATAACAAGCTAAAAGACGTGAGGACTGCTTGGAAACACAGCAGGTAATGACGTGTAACAGCCGTGGATCCGCCGCCGTGGTACAGTAGGAGCTCCTCTACAGTCCAGTCATCCTGTTGACCCTGCATTAACATGTTTATAGGCCTCAAACACTTACAGTGGCCACTGGTTGTATTGTATGTGCCCCTTATATTGGACCTCATTTTGCCCCTTATATTGGACCTCATTTCTTACATGTTAACATTGAGTTTTTAACTCTAATGGCAGCAATGTCATTCAATTGTATACAGTTGTGACTTAACATTTTGAACCGTGGTTCCTGTCAGTTTAGGTGGTCGTCTTAGATATCTACACCAACTCACTCCAGAAGCCAATAAAACGTCTCCTTGTGTCACAGATTCTTCTTTGGCAAAAACAAAGTCATGATGGTCGCCTTGGGTAAAGGAGAAACGGACGAATACAAAGATAATCTGCACAAGGTAGGAACCAGTTATGGACCAGAACTACATCTGATTGTACATGTTTAACAACTCTTATTTTGAAAATATTCAGGTCAGCAAGTACCTACGAGGAGAAGTTGGTGTAATGTTCACAAATAAAACAAAAGATGAAGTACAGGAGTAAGTCTGGGTTAAAGACCGCAGTGGATTTCATTGGTAATAAATGTCGACTCCAACTTCAACCAATCCCTTTGATTACAGGTACTTTGATCATTTCAAAGAAACAGATTTTGCACGTGCAGGCAACCAGGCACAGATGGACATCACTCTGGACGAAGGACCTCTGGAACAGTTCCCTCACTCCATGGAACCCCAGCTGAGACAACTTGGACTTCCTACAGCTCTTAAGAAAGGCATGATCGAGATGTTTTAAAGCCGGTTTTGGTCGTTTTGTCATCGGTTGGAATGCTGACGTTTTCTGTGCGATTGTTACAGGAGTGGTGACTCTGCTGAAGGACCACGAGGTCTGTAAGCAGGGAGATGTTCTGACTCCGGAGCAGGCTCGTGTTCTGGTACGTTCTGCCATGTTTCACTTCAGTGGCCGCGCTTCATGTTGAATGAAATGTAAACTTTGTTTCCACAGAAACTCTTCAGTGTTGAAATGGCAGAGTTCAAGGTACAGATCAAATGTATGTGGAACTCAGAAACAGGAGAGTTTGACAACCTCGGTGGGGAAGAATCGATGGAGAAGGATGAAGAGGAGGAGGAGGAGGAGGAGATTGATGAAGAATAAAAGGACATCACAGGCTTGTATGCTTGATTTTAACAAAGGTCCCACTCTCCACCTGAGAATCTGACACTGAAGCCAATACTGTTGATCCCCCGACCCCCCCTTCAACCTCAACATGAACAGCTGTCCTTCAGCTTGAATCAGTTTTTAGGGTTCATCGTTGTTGAAAACCTCAGATCAGATTTAAGGCCTTACACAAACACACACCACCTAGTGGTGAAGTGGTGAACACTGTTCTATTGTCCATGTGTTTTTTTTTTAAATGTGTAAGAAATACATTTGTTTATGTTTAAGGATTTCTTTTTTTATGCAACAGCAACCAGAAAAGATTAAAACTACAGGGGAAAAAACTCAATGATTTCATTAACAAATGGTTTTAATTAGAAAACAGTTTACTGTTCGTTAGGAAGAAAATGTTCAGAAAAAAAAAAAACAGAACAAAGATGTAAAGGAACCTCACTGGTCTGAGGGTGTGTGTGTGTGTGTGTGGGGGGGGTTCATCTGAAGTAGTTGGGACACTCATGGGCCACCAGGTCCCAGGCTTGGTTGAAGGCAGAGACCACTGTGTCATCCAGAGGACCTTCCTCTGAGGCGGCCAGGTTCTGCTGCAGCTGCTCCAGAGTGGACATCCCGATGATGACTCCGTCTCCCAGGTCTCCCTGTGACCACAGGTGAGGTAGTGGTCAGAGGAGAGGTCTATATATTCACACTACAGACGTCTGTTCAGTACCTTCAGCTGGGAGTGGTGATACATCCACCGGAGGGCAGCGCACGTCAGAGTTGGCTTTTCTGAACCGTACACCGTCTCCAAGGACTTCAGGACCAGGTCTACGGCCTGGAACTGACTGCTCTTCCAGTACCTTCAAAAACGCAGTCCATTTATTAACAAATACATGTAGAAAAAAGAGCCAACGTGCTGTGTGTCCTCGTCAAGTCTTGTTTCAAAGCCACCTGAAAATGCAGTTGAGTACCACTGATGGCCACCAGGGTTTGGTGTCACCACCACACACTCAGGTGTGGTCCAGCTGGTTACCTGTCTCTGTAGGCTGCAGCCCAGCTGTTACCAAAGAAGCGTCCTGCAGGCTGGGAGCCATCTTTGTCCTGGTACAGATACTTTCCTGTCAGAAGACCACCTGCAGTGAAGACCACCTCATCAGGCTCTACCAGTCATTTCAATGAAACCCCCCCCCCCCCCCCCCCCCAGGTGACTTACTTTGGTGGGACTGATAACAGTGAATCCCAGTAGGTGGAGCAGCAGCACCTGCCAGAGGGTTGTATGCATAGAATCTCATCCCATAATATCTGAGACACGGCAGCAACTCCGTCTCAACCTGCCTGGTGGTGGCGTTGTACATCCCCTGTAAACAGTGAGAACATACAGCAGGTGATCATCAAAGGTCTTCAGCAGTGCTCCGAGTTTCCTCAAAAGGTTCTAGGTGAAATTCCTAATTTACTGCTCCACCTACAGGCAGGGATATAAAAACCATCTGACCTCTGACCTGAGCTGTGTTCAGGTGAATGTACCTGGTACACAGTTGGCACGATCCAGTTGTTGTGTCTGCAGATAGACACAACTTCAGACACTTCCCATGATGCATAGTTTGAGAGGCCGAGCTCTTTGAATTTTCCCTAATGACAAATAAAAGAAGTCAAACGTAGGTCAACCGTTTTCTAAGCTGTCGTCAGTGTAAGTTCCTTACCTCTGTGTGCAGCTCGTTGCAGGCCCTCAGAGTGTCCACGATGGGGTTCTGATGGTCAGGAGCATGGAGGTAGAACAGGTCCACACAGTCGGTCCGCAGTCTCTGAAGAGACGTCTGCAGCTGTGAGCGGACACTCTCGGGCTTCAGGGTCTTCCCGTCCCAGGGGTTAGCCTTGGTAGCTACGCTCACTGTGACAGGGATGCAGGGTGAGTAAAACTATCATAATTCATCCATACACACGGGGCAGGGCGTCTGGAACCCCGGCTGACAGCAGCTAAACACTGGGTCACACACGCTTAGTCACTGCTGCTGTGAATATACTTAATATTCATTTAATATTATAATTGCTGTTTGTTGGACTTCCTCAGCCTGAACCTGGGCCAAAGTACAGCTTTTCTACGTGTCTCCGGTAAAAGACAACGTTAACTTTTGACTGTTTTACGGCAGCGGTTCGAACCTGTTTCAGGTAAGTTCATGCCTCCTATGACCGCTTCCGACTTCCCGTCCACATACATGAAGGCCGTGTCCAGCAGGCTGTGTCCTCGGTCCAGAAAAGCTTGCACCATCTGCAGGCTCTGCCCGGCGTCAGCTCGACCACCGAACGCCATGGTCCCCAACAAGGACACGGGCTTTTTGGGGTTTTCCTGCGACGACATACTGCGACCGAACACTAGGGTCGCTACTCTGACACTGTGGTTCTGTCGTACTCTGCACAGTCCACTCCGTATTACGAGGAACATGCTACGATATTACAGCTAACTGAGCGAAGGGCAAAAGTCGTGGTTTAGGGACCGTCGTAAAGTTCCTTAAACGATAAAAAACGGAAGGAGAAGGAATTCACAACTGGTTGTTGGATTACGGTAGTGCAAAGTCCATTGGCAGTGACTACTTCCGGTCGGTTTAAATTTATCAATAGAGTTAAATGCTAATTCATTATATCAATCTCAAAAGTAGTTTTAAAAGTAGTCAACTGGACTCACCGCAAGTCTCTTGAGGCGAAACGTCTTCGATTGAGTCCAGCTGACTACTTTTAAAAACTGGACGACTGAGAATAGCTACAAGTATAATGCCTTATATGCACGGTACTTAATACATTCGTATAGGTCGAAATACATGTGGAATGGTAGTTTTCCCTTGTCCCCACAAGGTGTCAGGATAACCCCACTGCCAAGAGTTCGGCCTCACTTCATGACAGACTGTGAGATAAAAGTCAGATGTTTTTTCCCCTTCTTTTTATTAATTGGATTTAGAAGTCTGATAGTTAGTTAGTTAGTCAGTTAGTTAGTTTAATCTTACAATTGTTCATCAGTATAATGGTGTGCTGGTTTCTCTATGTCAAATATCAAACAAACAAAAAAAAGGTTTGGAAACAGTGGCCTAAAAATACAGTATTCCATTTGACAAATGGAATAGATTAAAAAAAACTGTTGAACTAAGACAGATTTATATTTATGTAAGAATGTTGGAGTTGGTGTGAAAATGCACAAATATTTCAATAATTGACAATAGTGAAATGATACATTTTTATTAACGACATGTTTGATATTAAAACACCAAAGCTGTGTTGATGCGTCATATCCTGTAGGAACAGGAAGTTCAGGTCTTTAACTCTGGAAACCCGTGATAAACTCGTTGCACTTCTACTTTGCTCGAACATTTTCGGTCTGGGGCCCCTGATCCGATTAAACCAGTGTGTCCTGCAGGGGCTTCAGTGGGTGGGGGGGCCCTGACCTGGGACTCCTGGGGGTCATGAACACAGATGAGCTGCAATGAAAGCTTTGTTTGGAGAGCTGCAGCAGTCCGTCCTGGTGGCTGACCCTTTGACCCCACCGTCAGCTGTTTGCCCTGTGGAATGACCACGGTCTGCTTCCTGCTTCACGGACACCTGGACGACACTTCTAGAAGCTTCTGTTAAGATCAACTACATGAGGTCACATTTAAATTGATTTAATTGTCAACTTTTTTGTCAAAGGGAAAAAAATTTTAAATTGATTTAATTGTCAACTTTTTGTCAAAAAAACCACACCCAGAAAATGAAACAGTAGTGGAAAAGTCCACAACTGATTAAAGGACTCGTGGTCAGAAAGTGTAGAATATATAAATGTAATGACTTGTATGAACAGCGCGTGGCGTCCTCCTCTGTTTCTGTGCTGAGTTCGAACTTTCTGTGCGTGAACGCGCTGATTCAGAACACATCAGTTTGGATTTTACAACTTTTAAAATTCCTTTTGGGGAAAGTGATCCAACAAGGGTAAAAGAGTATGAATGAGGAGAGTGACGTGTGTCCGGGTCGTCCGTCAGCCGTGACTGTCGTGACTTTATCAGTCTGTAAATCTGAGCTCCGCGCTGTTGGAGCAGCGTCTTCAGTGCCAGCCGCACAGAAGCTGTGGATAATAACTCCCCAACAACCTGCCCCTCCCCAACAACCTGCCCCTCCCCAACATACCCCCTTCCATCATTACCAAGTCAATGGGGGCAGACTCTCTCTGTGTGTATGTGTGTGTGTGTGAGACCTAACATCTGTAGTTGTGAGGGGGGGTGAGCCGCTCCCCCCAGTCAGTGTCACGCACAGGAGCAGAGCGCGGCCACGCGACGTGTGATGTCTGAGCTCTCCGGTCACTGGTCATTTCTCTGGACTCCGTTCGGTTCTGTTTTCTTTTGTTTTGTTCTTTTCTGAGTGAACTCCATGAAAGGACGTGGTTTTCAGCTGTAGTCTGACAGAAGAAGAGGGAAATGAAGACGTTTGTTGTATTTTCTTTTTTCTTTTTATTTATTCAACAGACGTGTTCATTCAGATACAGCAGCAGCAGCAGCAGCAGCAGCAGTCTCCAGCCTTATATGTGAGTGAAACCTTCGGTCTTTCTTCGGATTCGTTCTGCATGATTTGCACATTAATGTATATTATTGTCATTGTTGTTGTTGGTGGTGTTGTCACCGTAACACTCCATCAGAAGAAAATCCAATTTTTCTTCAGTATTTTTTTAACAAATACTTTAAATTCTTTCCTGACGTGTTTTACAGCTACATATTTACTTTGAAGTGTGTTCATCAACTCTGCTGTGTCACCTGCACAGACTTGTGTTCACTCTCAGCCATAACAAAAACAATGATTTGCTAAGTTTGTCTTCAGGATCATCCGTAAACACAGAGGTCACATTCACAGAAGTTTAAAATCCGTTTTCACCACAAACTCAGCAGAAATCTGTGGAGGTTCTCTGGACTCAGGGATGTCTTTTAATGAAATTCCAGCAGGTTGTTGTCAGACTGTTGTCAGACTGTTTCCAGACTGTTGCCAGACTGTTCTCAGACTGTTGCCAGACTGTTGTCAGACTGTTGTCAGACTGTTTCCAGACTGTTGTCAGACTGTTGTCAGACTGTTGCCTGACTGTTGTCAGACTGTTGCCAGACTGTTGCTCATCTCCACGTGTTTCCCGTCTCTTATCCTGGACGGTTATCAAAGGAATAAAAGTGTCAGACTCGCACTTTTATGTCTTCACATTAGTGTTTACAGTGATGTGAGGACGTCAGCGGCAGCAGCTAACTCTAACTCTAACTCTAACTCTAACTCTAACTCTAACTCTAACTCTAACTCTAACTCTAACTCTAACCCTTTGTCTTCCTGTCGTCCGGCTGACAAACCAGCCTCGACCTCCATCTGTTTTTTTCCAGCGTCACCTTTCAAACACCCAGATGTTTGACAGCGGTTTTCTGGGAGATGGTGAAGTGTTTGAAATCTGTCAATTCAACTGTTTATATTTGAAACTTGTTGCCATTTCTCTCTTCAGTTCAGGTTCAAATAAAGCTGTAAAGTGTGTCGTGGTCCTGGTGTTGGACCAGGGTTTTCTGGTCAGACTTCCTGGGACCAGACACTCAAACACACATTTTTATATGATGTTTATTGTGGAATAAAGTCACGGGCCGGATTGGACGGTTGGCCGGGTCAGATCCAGCCCACAGGCTGCCAGTTGATCAACCTTTTTAGAGGGATAATAGAATTAGATAAGGAATTAGAAAACCGACGACACGACGTCACAGAAACAGAACCGAGACGTCTGTAAATGCTGGCTGATGCATTTCCCCCAAAGACAGACAGCAGTGCCTTCTGGGTAGGCGCCGTGTCACCCACAGCTAGAAACATCATTTAACCTTTATCTCTCATCTTTTCTGCAGCATTTCTTTGCAGCGCTCGTAAATTTCCCTCTGGAAATCAATAAACCACATTTTGACACTTTCATTATTTTTTCAGGCCCAACGTGTGTTTGGAGCGGGAGGTGACGCTCGTCGCCCAGAGGCAGCCGTGTGTGCAGGCCTTCACACGCATGGTTAAAGTCTGGAAGCAGGGCTGCGGGGGACAGTCGTGGTGCATGGGATACGAGAGGAGGTGAGTCATGCGCCGCTCGTTGTCTGCTCCGTTTCCTTCCGCGATCCAGAGCCGCTGACTCAGCAGTTTGCCTGCGGAAACCTGGGCTTCTGGTTTAGTGTAGTGTCATCAGCGTCTTTGGGTTTTTGTTGGTTTCTAGAAGCTGTTTCTGCTCTCATCCAAGAGACTTCTAGAAACAGAGTCCAGATGTTTCTAGAACACTGAGATGGGACAAGGTTCGACTCCCTGCTGCTCTCTAATCACAGTTCCTTCTAATGCTAACCTTTAGCCCGTCTGTCTCCCACCGACTGTCTCACACTCCTATCTGTCCACCGTCCAACTAAGTCAAAACCAACTTTTAAGGAGGCCAAGGTCACAATTAGTGCAGATCACCACGGCGTGTTCCCATCTTGGGGGGGTTGGGGGGGGTGCAGTAAAAAGAAAAGGAGAACACAGACCCCTCCCACAATACTCCTTACATTGAAGTATTTTTTAACCTTTTGCTTGTTTTTCTAGGACGGCGTACTACACAGCATACAGACAGGTGTACAGACAGGACTATGAGGTGGTCTACAAGTGCTGCCGTGGGTGGTCTCAGCTGAATGGGGAAGCTGGTTGTCTTTATCGTGAGTTTCCTCCTCTCTTATTGTTTTTCTGTGACCCCTCCATGGGGTACATTATATATATTTATATTTATGTATACATATTTACACAGTCTTCCTGCTCTGTGTCGTGGTTCTCCTTTCACTCCCTCAGTACATCACAGATTTTTTTTTAACCTGACTAGACCAATGTCTAATCTTAAAATGATTAGACATATGAAAGTTTTGGATTTTTGTTTTGAAGATGAGATAAGTCATTTATGAACGACCCCTGGTAGCTTTGTTTACCTCGAGGAGATGGTACACGGCCTACTATTGGCTAATACAATGAGCATGCTGTTCTGTTCTTCACCCTGATTGGCTCATGCATGTAATCCAGTCTGGGGGGGTTGATGACAGTGTGGGGGAGGTTCCTAAATAATATAATAACTATCTCGTCTCTACTTCATGATTTTTTTCCCATTTGGTCTTTGAACCCAACTACCACAATAGGAGAGGGATCACTGTATGTGTGTACAAATATGTCCAAGAAAACCTCGAGAAAAGTCAACAACAACAGACACAACTGTTTCCTAGGACAGTGAAGGCGTCCAGAATATTAGAGCCGTCCTTTTATCTCTGTAACCAAAGATGTGGCAGTGAAGTGAGATGAGATAAAAGGAAGCTCCGACTCCTGCTGCACCGTTCCTCCGTCAGCACCGTACAATCTGTGGAGCCGCTGTCAGCAGCTTCACCTGCATCCAAAAAGACACTCCCCCCAACCCCCCCAAATCCTCCTAAAACTGGACAATGGGAATGCATTGTGTTAAGATAGTGATTTAGTGAGTGGCACTGGTCCTACTCTCTCTGTCTGTCTCTCTGTCTGTCTCTCTGTCTCTCTGTCTCTCTGTCT